CTCCTCCCCGACCCGCCTTCCCTCCGCCCGTTCCCGCCCAGGAGACGCGGACGCCACCCGTCCACCGGCCGCGCCGCCCGCGCAGCTGCGCTCGGCTTCCCGTTCGTTACTCACGGGTCGGAGCCGCCCGGCTTTCCCCGTCCCGAGGCCGGCGGCGCGCCGCGAATCCCACCCTTTCCCAGGTTCTCGGGGCCCCGGTGCTGTCCCAGGCTGGGTGACGGGGCACTCTTGCCGCGGCCCCGCACCCACCCCTGCTAGAAGCCAGAACACTTGCAGTGCCCTTCCCCAACCAGCCCCTACGCCTCCTCCGGGAAGCCGGCCGGGACCTCCCCTCCCGGCCCGCAGAGACCCTTCCTTTCGAGCCGTCACCCTGGGCCCGAAGCCCTGGCAGTGATCCTCTTGGCGCCCGCGCAGGGCAGGAGGCTCCGTAGCTGGTGTGTGTCAAAGCCAAGAACCCGAAACCTGCTCCGTCCGCCCTCCCCAACACGGCATCCCCCGGGTGTGCTTCATTCGCCGGCTCCCTCGCACGCGCTCCGAGGAGGACGCAGACAGCACCAGCGAGGCCTGCGTCTTGACTCAGTTCGCACAGCCTCTTCCGCCACTTCCAGGTACCACCACCCCCTCTGGGATGCGCAGGTCTCTCCCAGGCCTCCCTGCTTCCATGCCCACCAGCCCCTTTCACGTAGGTGCCGGAGGAATCGTTTTAAAAACCAACCACAGGCCGGGCGCGGTGGCTCACGCCTGTAATCCCAGCATTTTGTGAGGCCGAGGTGGGCGGATCACTTGAGGTCAGGAGTTCAAGACAAGCCTGCCCAACATGGTGAAACCCCATCTCTACTAAAGAGAAAAATCAGCCAGGTATGACGGCGCACACCTGTAGTCCCAGCGACTCAGGCTGAGGCAGGACAATCACTTGAACCTGGGAGGCGGAGGCTGTGGTGAACTGAGATCACACCACTGTACTCCAGCCTGGGCAACAGAGCAAGACTCCCTCTAACAAGACAAATTTAAAAATAGGGTGGGCACGGTGGCTCACACCTGTAATCCCAGCACTTTGGGAGGCTGAGGTGGATGGATCACTTGACGCCAGGAGTTTGAGACCAGCCTGGCCAACACAGTGAAACCCCATCTCAAATCCCCGTCTCTACTAAAAATACAAAAATTAGCCGGGGATGGTGGCTCACACCTGTAATTTCAGCTACTCAGGAGGCTGAGGCACGAGAATCGCTTGAACCTGGGAGGCAGAAGTTGCAGTGGGCCGAGATTGTGCCATTACACCCCAGCCTTGGTGACAAGAACAAAACTCTGTCTCAAAAATATATAAAGTAAAAGGCGGCCAGGCGCGGTGGCTCAAGCCTGTAATCCCAGCACTTTGGGAGGCCGAGGCGGGTGGATCACGAGGTCAAGAGATCGAGACCATCCTGGTCAACACGGTGAAACCCCGTCTCTACTAAAAATACAAAAAATTAGCTGGGCATGGTGGCGCGTGCCTGTAATCCCAGCTACTCAGGAGGCTGAGGCAGGAGAATTGCCTGAACCCGGGAGGCGGAGGTTGCGGTGAGCCGAGATCGCGCCATTGCAGTCCAGCCTGGGTAACATGAGTGAAACTCCGTCTCAAAAAAAAAAAAAAAATACAAAAATTAGCCAGGCTCGGTGACAGGCGCCTGTAGTCCCAGCTAGGTAGATCCCTGCCTCCAGGCTGAGGGAGAGTTTGAATCTGGGAGGCAGAGTTTGCAGTAAGCCAAGACTGCACCATTGCTCCGGCCTGGGTGACAGAGCCAGACTCCATCTCAAAAAAAAAAAAAATAATAAAAGTAATAAAAGCCGAGGCACAGTGGCTCACGCCTGTAATCCCAGCACTTTGGAGGCTGAGGC